TGACATAACTCCCTCTAAACCAGTGTTTCAAAACTTGGGGATTTTTAAGATCTGGGGTCTTCAACTCCCAAAATCCCCCAGCCAGCAAGGGTGGCTGGAGAATTCTGGGAGTTGAAGTCCACAGATCTTAAAGTTCCCAAGGTTGAGAAACACTGTTTTAGAGGGAGTCATGTCACATGTTCAGCTGATAAAGAGATGGCACATCAAGTTACATGCACATACATACTAAGTGGAGATAGGAGATTTTCAATTGATGAATTTTGAAAAATAAAAAAAATCCATAGGGTAATCCCTTTATTTAACTAATCAGAGTTTTACAAAATTATTGCAAGCATTCAAATTTGAAGAACTCTTCATCAGGTAAGGGGGAAAATGCAAGGAAAGGGATGGAGGAAAATACATTGCTGATCTTGGAGCCATGTTAGTACTGGGTTACATTGTTAGATGGCATAATGAAGATCTTCCACAGACATGCAAGTTGGGTCTTTTCAGATACAGATTGGTGTTAAGTTGTGAGGAAAACTATTCCAAAATTCTCTGGAAAAAAGAAAAAAAGCAAATACAAGTTCCCCATTTTTGGAAATAGAATTCCAGTTGTTTCTGCTAGGTATAGAGATGCCCAAATCTCTTGGCTGGTATAATACCAGAGCTAATTTTTTTGGTTTTTTATTTTTTGTTTCAAAATAAGTGATAACTCATAGTTCATGTGGAAAGCAGGAACAACAAGGAACAGAGGCAATTCCATAATTACAAAGCTTATAGTTTCTGTTGGAGAAAATCTATTTCATGCTCTGAGTAGGACCTGGAAAAATCTCTACTTGCTCAGATGGTTTACATTCTGGTTGAAAATATTACTGAGGAAGTTGGGGCATTCTTTTCTTCATGCCGTAGGCTTTGCTCATCACGGTGGAATTCTATATGGATATGGTCAAAAGATTACGTTTGCCCCTTTGGCTTGCCAGCAGAGGAATGCAAACAACATCCTGGGAAGTGACAAGGAAGAGCAGCTGTAGGCACTGGTGTGCTAACATACTGGCTTTAATAGCCAAATGAGGTCACTTTTAGAATGCATAGTAGCTATTTTAGGCACTCAGTGCCACAGTTTAAAGGGTCTTAAGCCATCTCTAGAGTTCTAGGAGTTCAACTCTTTCAGTACTCATGACCAATCTATCCCACACAGGATAATTAAAATCTATGCCCCAGAAAGGTTTTCCCCCCTCTGTAGGTATCAAGCCATTTAATCTGTGCTAAATGAATAGTGTGAACAATTTGAAATAGCTCTTAACTGAGAATTGGCTCATCTGTCTACATGAATAGACATTTTGCTGTCCATCACAACAGATACTTTACGAAGACACTTATCAGATGCTTTAAAGAAGATCAGCCTTATGTTTTAGTATAGGATATGGTTTCAGATGAGATAAATAACATACAGTCATGAATGTGGTCCTTAGTTGAAAAGTGCAAAGGTTCAGAGTTGCAGAGGAAATCCTTGGAGCAGATGGGTAGAAATGGAAGACATCACATTCCCAAGCTCAGAAAGACTTGAACCAGGCCTTCCTTAAGCCATGTCCTAAATTTATTCCTAACTGCTTACATCCAGATAAGGTATCCCAGACTTTCTACTAATACTATGTTATAAAGTCAACATTTTTCAACATCCTAGTTCTCTATCTTTCAGGCAGTAATGTTTTCAGCTACTGTTTACTATATAAAAGGAGATAATTGTTGAATTGTTCACTAAAACACACAAGAATTGGATTCAACATAGGGTTAGAGTACATGACTTATTGCAATTTATTTGAGACTGGATTTTGTCTCTGAGTGGTGTCCTCTACGCTCTAGAGCAGTGTTTCATGGCTGACTGAAGAATTCTGGGAGTTGAAGTCCACACATCTTCAAATGGCCAAGGTTGAGAAACACTGCTCTAGAAAGTGAATGTGGTCAGGACAAAGAATTGGGTGGGGTCAGATCAAAACCCAAATTTTATTTACATGAAATACTGTTAATCTGATAACTTCCCATGTATTTAATAAATTTCCCTGTAACATTAAAAATTATAGTCAGTGGCAAGAGTTGGAGGAATTTGGAGTTGTGAGGAGAGGAACAGGTTGTGTGTCTTAGTGAATGAGCCTTAAATTGGGTTATGTTTTTATGCAAACACATCTACCTCTTTATGGGCATTTTAAAATTCTGGTGACTTTCTACTGATTTACCTAAAAAGTATTTACGTACTTTTGAGAACTGCTAAGGATCATATGATTTTTATTATGTCCTGATACGTAAAACCATAGAACTCAGAGGGTGTACTTTATTTTTCACACAACTCTACATGTTTAGAAAGTGTACACATTTACCCCTACAAAATATTACAGAAAATGTGTATTATTATTGTTATACAAATGAAAAAGGATATTTTAGGTACCATCTCAAGATAATTTTTTCCTTTAGTCTAAATCTTGTATCAAGTATCAGTAACTGATTATATTTTCTTAATGGATTATTGATGTTTGGTATTCTTTTGAGTATGTTTCTCTGAAGTAGGAATAGAGAAAGCAAATAGTACAAAATAGGCCATAATTTTTATTATTTGGTAAGTCATAGCACAGAGACATATTGAATGTGATTTATTGGTTGGTCCAGCAAACAGCACGGAACTGTTTTGATGCAGCAGTAGCAAAGGTGAATAAGTCATACGTTTGATCTGTAACCTGGATGGGATATTAGGTAACCCTTATAATAGCAGCATATGCATTCAATAAGATGATTTTTAAAAATGAGTAAGGGATAATTAACTTGTTGAATCTATTTTAACAATAAGGACAAAATGGATTATTGGGCTTCAGCAGAAGCTGTTGGAATAAAGGCATTTCAGAAGAAAGCTGTTGGCTTTGACTCTAAGAGTCTTATAATAGGTGCTGGTGAGAATCTAGCAAGGAGTAAAACTATGGAATAGTAAGTCAGGCATAGCAAGTGCAAAGATGAAAGGAAAAGCAGGCCACTGGAGAACCATTGGAAATAGGTTAATGACAACAGGAAGGTGCTTTTAAACATTCACACTTTCTTTGATGGCAAGGTTGTAAGCAAAAGTCTTTCAAAAAGATTTTTTAAAACATGTTAGAAATGGATAAAATATGGCAGTGTAAAAAAAAAAAACCTATTCAAACCTTTAATTGATGAGCTTTGGCAATATTTAAGCCAAACAAATTTTTCTTCATAGTGGCAGTAAAAAAAATGCATATCTATATGTAGTCAATACTAATCAAAACACATTTACAGCCATTTTTCACTTGATCTTCAACAGGCCAAGAGTGAGGTACTTCAATTCCAGAAAGTAAAGTCTTTCTTCATAGCAAAAGGCTGTATAAGAAGAACAATAAGTAAACAAATAAAATGCCAAATAATTATTTTGCATATTTTTGGCTAGCAGCAAATGGGTTACTAAATGCAGAAAAAGTTAATAGCACTGGTAAACATTAAACTAGATCCTTTCATGTTTTATAACACTCAATTTTCTTAGCTACTCTATTTCTGCATTCTGTTATGAATGTTTGATAAAGCTCAATGTATATTGCTAGAGGAAAAAGCCAAGCAAATGTCTGAAACGAAAACAGTTATTCTTTGTTTGGCTTCCTGTATCCTAAGAGTTAACTTCAACCTTCCCCAATCCTAGTCATCCTAGTATGTTGGATTATGATCACCTATGTTCTCAGCCTGAAAGTTAGATGGGAAGCATGGGGGTCTGTAATGATAGCAGTACTGGTGGAGAATGACTTCATGTATGTCAGGTCACCACACAAATGACATACTTTGTTCACTAATGTCATGACACATGTGACATCATGGGAATACGAATATACTCCACTTCTGTTCACTGACCTTCACTGTATTAGAACTTACTAGACTACTGAAAAGATGTGCTCTTCCACTGAACTATATTTGTCTGTGACAGCTAGGGTATGCAGAGCTGATGTTCAGGTGTTCTTCTTCTAGTCAGTAAAAGAGCCCACACAAGCTATATTTGGCAAAATATTTATTTAGAAAACTAGAGTAAATATGGCTACGCCAACAGAAAAAATTTAAATAGCAGAAAACAAGACAACCCTCATATCACTTTTCCTTGTTATTCTAGATCAGTTTTTACAATATTAATGTCATGTATGTGAAGTATGCCATGTGTAAATACATATACATACATACATACATATATTTTTGTGTGTGTGTGTGTGTATTGCAACCCCTTAACTAAGCAGCTCTGACAAAGAGTCTCCTCAACTCTTGTAGGAATAGAAGGATGAGTGGATGAAGTGGGCCTATTTTGCAGATATTCAAAAAGTCTTCATTCCTAATAGAAAACACTTATTTTTTTTAAATAAAAACTCTACCAATTCACCAGCCAGAAAAAAGCAAGAAAACTCAGTAGACAAAGTAGCTTCTTCTCCTGTACACATTACTGTGTAAAATGTGAAATCTAAAAATCCTGTGTGTTAAAGCTAAAAAAAAAAAAAGCAATTCCAACACAGTCACATTCTCTTTATTTTCTCTTTCTTTTTAATATTTTGTTACAAAGATGGTTAAGAGCCTTATCATTTGCTTAAAGCAATGTGTGCTTCCCCTTCCTACAGATGAAGCACAGCGAACCAGTGAAGTTCTGAGGTTGTAGAAATGGACTTCATGTTGCGGGCAAAAGATCACATTTTCAAAAATTCCCTCACAGTAAAAAAAAATCCCTTAAGTAGCAGAGTTTTATAGCAGGGAAGTTTTAATTATTTCTGCTGTGCTCTGTTTCTATTCTATGGAATTGTTTAAATATGGTGTTCCCTGCTTGTAACCAGAAGTGGTGTAATCAATTTAAGCACCTCATTTTTCCATGCATGTTAGATGGGCTCTTTAGGCATAGGAGATGCATCTCTGATGGATGCCCCACCATTTTTATTCCCTATGTTTAAAAAAAGCTTTGTTTTTCAAGATGATGAAATTGTTTCTCCCTCTAAAAAAACTCCAGTGAAACTCTTAAAAATATATCTCTTCCCTTTTGGTTTAAAAGGACAGACTGATTTTGCTTTAGTAACTATCCTGATAACTATGATTTTAAAACTCCCAGTGAATATAAAATGGCAGGATGAGTAAGAATTGTATTACATATGAAGACACACTCCCTATGTGGGTGTACTTCCACCCAGTGATTAACAGTTGTGCAGGATTTCATACAATGGAGGGAGTGTACATATATAGATTACACTACAGATACATCACTCCAAAGTGGATGGCAGGTTTGTGATGGCACTAGTGGCAAAATCCTGCTCTTCCTCATGTGCTTGTTAACTGCATGAGAAGGAAAAGACAGGGCAACAGTTGAATACCATTTTTAAAAAAATAACTCAGCAAAACATGAAAGCACTATGCCCAGAGAAACCATGTGGTTTCACTAGTTACACAAAAATATCAGGGACAACATGTAGAAATAGTCACGTTGATTCCAAGGTTCCCGTTATCTGCAAATAGATGTGCTATGGCAGTGTCAAACACAAGGCAGTCACTGTTCATGATAGCTGCTGCCACACCGTCATGGATGGAGCGTGGTGTTGCTTCCCATGTCAGCCTCCGTCTGTTGCCATTCAGTTCGAGCCTGTATGCAAAGTTCTCTGCTTGTTTGCGAGTGCCAATGAGCAAAACTATGGCAAAGAACTGTTGATGGCCTTCATACTTCTCCTGTTTCTCCAAAACCAGCATAAAGTGATGGCCGAAGCATGACTGCATCATCACCCAGTCAACAGCTCCCGGCAAGTTAATGTCTGTGGCGAGAAAGACAATGTCTTCTCCTTGAAGGGTTGTGATACTCTTGTGAGCGTGCATTAGATGAGACATAACAGCTTCCAAGGAGCCTTGCCATTTGCATGATGCCCCTGGACATGGGCAGGAGTAAGGACGATATTCACAAATGTCTTCATGATCTGGCTTTTCTGTATGATGGAGTGTCAGGGAACAGCCTGTGGTAGCATACTGAAAAAACAAAAGGAAAGGTCCTAAAATACAGTTGTCTGTTTGCTACTTGATTTAAACCTCCACCTGTTCTGCAAAATTATACCACCTTTTTTCTACTGTACAGCCTAGCATCATCTAATTTGATTAGTAAGAGCTCTCCAGAGCCATAGACAAAGATCTTTCTCATCATTTGGTGCGGAAATGTTTACCCAGGACTGAAACAAGACTTGTTTTCTGCATGCAAAGCTTATGCCCTCTGATATATAACAATGACCCATGTCTTAATTTTGGTGGACACTGGATAAAGGAAACAAATTATTTTGATTAGTAACATAGAAACTTGGATTATAGGAGGACATACCATTGGTTCCTCTAGAATTTTGGAAAGTAGATTTTCCCAACTCTATGTCATGAGATGCTAGGGATAAAACCTGGGACTTTCTGCATGGGAAGGACACTGTTTAATCACATCTCTAAGATGCCATATATATACATCTAGAATGCTCTGCTGTTAAGAGTTTTATCTTAATGGAGTTATTAATCCTTTTCAGAAGAAAAAAATCAAGGCCATCTTGGTTTTTGAAAGCTGCATTGTGAAGCCCTTCAGATATTACTATATCTCTGAGTATTCATAGGAAGGTCAATTACATGAGTTTTACCATGATTTATTATTTGAGACAGGGTTCAACAACTGCATGGCAAGTATCCTTCATCTTTAAATGCTATTCTACAGAAATGTAGTTCCTGCTCTGCCAGTATTGGTTACATATGGGCTCTTGGATGTAACTTCTACTGTATTTCAAAACCTGACTTTTTACAAGGCTGCTTTATTTTTTTATTTGAAAAAAAAAAAACAATCTATTTTTGTCCCCTACCCCCAATCCATTAAGCAAAATAAGAAGCCTCAGAGTCAAAATAGGCATAATATAAATTTTCTCTGGCTGTTCAGATTTCAACAAGAGGTCTCACTTTCATCCCACTCCATTCTGTCCAGAAGAATTTACCTAAATCATGATGTCACAACATTCCACTTCTCCCTTTCTTTCTCCTTTTTTCTATTTATCTATACTTCACTTTCAAAGCATTCAGTTCTTGACACAAGATACTTTACTGAGAAGTGCAGATGTATTTATCCTGCAGTAATTCTGGGTAAATTTTGATGATTGCAGCAAAGATATAAATCTTTGCAGTCAGAATAAAACACAGAAAACAAGGCATACCCAAATCCAATCCAGTTTCCTCACCTTTTAGAGCATCTTGATTACGCATAAGAGCCTTTTTATTAACCAGAGAATTGTACTCTTTGTTGTTGGTATTTTTTGGTTGAGAAATTAAAGAGGAGACAATACAAATTTCAACCCTTGTCTCCCCAGTTGTCTCCAGCATCAAATAATTTAGCATTATCTTTGACTTTTAGAATACTTGCAGAATGAAGCAGGGCTCCCCCTCTGCTTAGATTTTTGTTGTTTGATGCGAGGTTTCCACATCCATGTATCACCTAACGGCATAGAACAGTGAGAGTGGAATATAGGGGATGGCTGAACAGCATGACATAAAGAAGTGTAAGAATCTGCTTTTTACCAAATCAGATCATGGGTTCATTTAGGCCAGTAAGGCCTACTTTGTGCGTGGAGATGAGAAAAGCAATGCAAGTATGCTGCTTTGGACATTCTTTCATATGCTTGATATGCATCCAGTCTAACTTCAGAATGCAGTTCTCAGCCTCTATTAATAAAAGCAGAGGCCATGTGGTGAAGGTAGATCTGTGAAAACCTAGGTTGAACTTCACTCTCAAAGATGTTTGGGTATTTGCTGACTTTCAGCCCAGCCTCCCTCAAGCACAGTTGGTACGCAAGGAAAGATTGGAAAAGTGAGGTTATGTATGTCTCTTGAGCTCCTTGAGGAAAGGTGGGGTATACATCTAAACAATGAATTACAGGAGCAACATTGATTGATAAGCATCACACAAATCCTTCATTATTTTCTATTCAGAGCAGATTAAGTCTTAAATTTGCTATATGACAAGAAGCTTTTATTCTAGTTCTTCAGCAAAGGTAACTACCATGAGATAGCTCTCCAAGTAATTCAGTTCACAAAGATCAGAGTGTGGCATCCAAAAGTCACTTAAAATAACATCTACCTAAATTGAAATATTTGAAGAACAGAAAGGGATTGTATATCCATTGCTTACAATAAAGAAAGTGTTGAATCATTTTCTAAGCATGTTTAAGGGAGGTTTTAAGTTTGTGAATCAGACATACAGTATAGGTTTAAATATTGGCCTGGAATACTGCATCTACCTGAGAACTCAGTTTAGGCTGTTTCTAGTAGATCATCATGCCTCTGTTGACAGTGCACTGGCTGCAAGTCCCATCACCTGCATATCAAAATGGAACAGCTTATGCCCAAGGAAGGGCTATCAGCAGGCGCGGGGCAACCACAATGTTTGTAGAAGTACAGAAAGCCTTTAGAAGCAAACTTGTGGAGGGGGACTCAAGGCAACCCAATGCAAGATAAGAGAGACCAGTGGCCATTGAATACCGAATGATTTATGGGGACAATGGGAAACCACGAAAGGATGGAGTGGAGTGGCTAGAATTTCAAACAAAAGTTCTCCGTGCTATCACGCCTTTTGACTGGCACTGCTTCCATTTTATATGTATTACATTTTATCCATTTGCCATCAAGGGCCTTCAGGCAGAACTTATTTTTACCCAGCAGCTATCATTCCATCTTGCATTAACACCTTACATTGTATAATTGCATTGAAGCATTTCCCTTGGCATTTTGCTGTTTAAAAGCTGCATTCATAATTGGGCAACCTATAAAGCCTGATCAGATTTACTGAGGTTGCTAAGCGTGATATTACCAAGTCCAACAGAAAAGCTACAGCTAAGTCAACAAAAAGGTATGAAGCATTTTTGTTTCCTGAAGTTTTGGGAGCTGCCTAGTGCTGTGCTAATAATAAGTTCTCTGCAAGAGGGAAGGCTGGTGCTTTTTTATACTCCGGCTGTTTACAGCACTTTTTCAGCTGGGAACAAGGTAAACAGATGAGACTTTTACTGGGGTGATCCTGTAACCCCTGAACAACTCTTGGCTAGCAGCTCTTTGATCTACCATACCAGTGTTGCAGAAAATATCCAAAAATATTTTATGTAAAACAAAGATTGATCAAAGGAAAATAGGAGAGAGAGAAAAAACACTTCTATAAACTGGTACTTGAGGAATTCTTACAGGGAATCATTCTGAACTTCCATTCCATTCCATTCTTTAAGTGAATCATCCACTTAAATTATTAAATTTCTAGGGCTCATGGTTACAATGAAATAAAATACTTAGCATTTCTATTACAGATGTGAAAGATGCTGAAAATTGCTCCTAGTACACATTTCTTTGCCCATCCATTCATTTTGGCTTCTCCTTCAGCACCTCTGCAGCTGCTTGAACTGAAAGGGGATGATCCAAACTATGCAGATTGAGATAGATAGATAGATAGATAGATAGATAGATAGATAGATAGATAGATAGATAGATAGAAATAAATCCATGCATATTGTATGGCCAGAATACTTCAGTTTCCTTGGGATGCAATATTTTTAGCATAAGGTGTACATAACCTGGATTATAAATCTTATCCCATACATTTATACAGTATATAAAGACTTTTTCTTACATTCCAGGAAGAATATTTAGGCTTTATAGCTCAAGCTATGAAGTCTGTGTATGTGTCTCTGAAATCCCAAGAAGAGACAAAACTGAGTAATATGGAATATATACGGGCATAGACGAAGGCAGAAAGCTGCAGCTGTCCAGTCCTCCTGATGGTTATTATTGACAGAATCTTTTATATTCATTGTTTTTAATAACATGTGCCTGACTCACCTGTTTGATTTATCTCTTATTGGTTCTTTCCAACAGCTACAAACCAGGGTGATGATTATTACATGACTCATCTGACAAGAAAGAAGTTCCAGAGGGAAATGTCTAGACACCTCTCCCCCTTGAAAAGGGGACATTTTAGGTCATATTTATCCCAAGGATAAATTTGAAAGCTTGGGTCAGTACTCTTTTGAATGATGGGGGCAGGAAGTAAGCATGGTAGCAAAAGACTTAGAGCAGCTATATGTATCCTAGGGGAGAGGTGGGCAGTGATGGCCATCAAGACCTGAGACCCATCTGCAGCCCTCACGTACTTTGGACCAGGCGAGTGAAAACTGACAGCGACTTTACCACCCATTTTGAGATAGCTATAAGACACGCATTAAAAAAAAAACCCAAATAAAATGTTCAAAATTCTCTCTGAAAGATTAGCCATACTTGCCTTACTGCCCCCCCCCCCCAATCATGTAAAATCCTTGGTCAGTAAAAAGTTGCCTGGCCCTGTCCTATTGGTTGGCTCATTAATGCACAGATCTAATCACAAGCCAAATCTAAGCTAGGAATGACCATTTTAGGACATAAGCTTCTTTATCTATTTCAATTCTGTGATACTCAGGAATAAGGGCTTGTATGTATTTGATCCTCTAACAGTTGCATATTCTTAGAGAAGCATGTATCATGTGATGTTTTGCAACCTTCCTCAATCTGGTGCCCCCCTTCCCCAACTGAGGGCTTCTATTCCATCTGTTCCTCCTTAAAGGTTTTTCTCTAGAGGAGGAAAAAAATGGTGCTGGGAAATCAGGAGGATTACAAATGAAAGAGAGCCACAACAAATCATAAGGGAGGCCTATGAAATTCCAGAACAGCCTCACTCGAAAAAGTCTTGATGCTTCGAGTGACAACTTCTTCCCAGCATTCCAGATGCCGGGTAGGGTGGGAATTCCTGACTCCAACATGTGGAGGGCATCAGATGTGGAAGACAACTCTTTCCTAAGTTAATAACAAATTGTCTACATTTGACCACACAAAAAATAGAAAGAAGAGAAAAGAAAAGGAAAAGAAAAGAAAAAAAGAAAGAAATGTTATGGGTATGGGATAAGCTACTTAAAATGTATCATTTCAGCATTAGCAAAAGGGAG